AGACGTGTCAACCATGACAGTCCCTCAACACCCAGAGCCTTCAGCATTTCCGGGCGGATCTCATCCACCCCCGGGGCTTTGCCACTGTGGAGTTGTTTGACGACCTCAGTGACCTCCCCCTGGGAGATTGGTGTTGATCCCACGTCATACTCCAGCTCTGCCTCTAACATAGAGGGCGGAGTTGTCGGGTTCAGGAGTTCCTCAAAGTGTTCCTTCCAACGCCCTAACACTCCATCAGTTGAGGTCAACAACGTCCCATCCTTACTGTACACAGCTTGGATGGTTCCCTGCTTCCCCCTCCTGAGGTGTCGGACAGTTTTCCAGAACAACTTTGGTGCCGCCCGAAAGTCCTTCTCCATGTCTTCTCCGAACTTCTCCCACACCCGCTGCTTTGCCTCGGCCACGGATGAGGCTGCTGCCCTTCGGGCCTGTCGGTACCTTGCAGCTGCCTCGGGAGACCCGCGGGATAACAAATCCCTGAAGGCCTCCTTCTTCAGTCGGACGGCTTCCCTGACCACCGGTGTCCACCAGGAGGTTCGAGGGTTACCGCCCCTTGAGGCACCTAGAACCTTGAGACCACAGCTCCCCGCCGCGGCTTCGGCAATAGAGGCTTTGAACACCGACCACTCTGGTTCAATGTCCCCAACCTCCACAGGAATGCCCAAAAAGATCCGCCGGAGATGTGAGTTGAAGGCCTCCTGAACTTGGGCCTCCTCCAGATGTTCCCAGTTCACCCGAACTACACGTTTGGGCTTACCAGGTCTATCCAGAGGCTTCCCCCGCCACTCGACCCAACTCACCACCAGATGGTGATCAGTTGACAACTCCGCCCCTCTCTTTACCCGAGTGTCCAAAACATACGGCCTCAGGTCCGATGATACGATAACGAAATCGATCATGGACCTTCTGCCTAGGGTGCTCTGGTACCACGTACACTTATGAGCATCCTTATGTTCGAACATGGTGTTTGTTATGGCCAATCCATGACTAGCACAAAAGTACAGTAACAAACCACCACTCCGGTTCAGATCAGGGGGGCCGTTCCTCCCAATCACGCCCCTCCAAGTGTCTCCATCATTGCCCACATGTGCGTTGAAGTCTCCCAGCAAGATTAAAGAGTCCCCTTCAGGAGCCCCATACAGGACTCTTGGGTCTCCAAGAAGGCCGTATACTCTGAACTGCTGTTGGGTGCATAAGCACACACAACAGTCAGAGTTGTCCCCCCATAACCCGCAGGCGTAGGGAGGCGACCCTCTCGTCCACTGGGGTAAACTCCAACAACGAAGCACCTAACCGGGGACTTGTGAGTATCCCCACACCCGCCCGGCGCCTCACACCTTGAGCAATTTTATCCAAGAGAGATAAACAGTGCTACTTCCTGACAATAAATAGAACCATCCTACGTTCTGAAAATTACTTTCATGTTGTTAGAACTTGATGAATGCATTTTCCTGTCATTAAGTCAGACTGACGCTGTGAAAGTTTAATGTAACTGTGATTGGGTGCCTCTTTTCTTTTAATATACCCCTTTGCAATCTAATGGCTCTTTTTGTTGTTTTTGTGTACTCCACAGTAGATGAGCCTTTTTAAATAAACAACAGTTGTCATGGCATAACATCAAATGTTTTCTGTTGATCTTGAGGAATGAAGACTTTAAGGGTATAGCTTTCGGTGCAGGGATTATAAATAAAAAAAGAAAAGAAATCAAACAAAAAATTGAAACCTAACCTTAAAAAAGTCAATTCAACACCCCTATTAATGATGCTTTGTTCATGCATCTTTTATCGTCTCAGGCATTATAAATCCGATTGAAATAGTATGTGTCAGATTGGCTCCAGTCTTTGTACCCCTGCAGTGTGTATGGGTGAGTGTCAATGTGTGAAGCATATCAATGGGAACATCCCTGGATTTCTGCACTCCAGGTGGAAGACTCCTGGAGTGAAGCATCTGTAGTTCAGCAGTGCATCCATTCCCAGAACATGGCCATAAAGAGAATTCATTATGTTGTTTCTGTATGAAATGTAATTATATACAGTCTACTGTTGATACTAATTTGGTTATACTGCATTTTCCATGTTCTTTAATTCATTTTTAATTAGGAATAGGAATTGTGGCCAAGTGTGAGAAATTATAACATTTCCACAGAAATAAAACAATGGAATGCTGGTTTGATTTGCAAATAGCAACAAAAAAAAGAATTACATTTAAATGTTTATAGCAACCAATAGTAAATGGTAAAGATTCCATTGCAAATCAGAGGTTCTATATATTTTCAAAAACTGTATAAAAAAAGATAAGGATCCTTAATCAACTGTCAATGAAAGTTAAATAGATTTAGACACAGGCAGTCATGTGAATAAATGCTCAATGGCTTAAAGGTGGGGTAGGTCAGTTTCAGAAACCGGCTCCAGTGCACTAAAATTTGAAAGTACACAGCCGAAAAGAATCCGCCCCTTCCTTCAGACTTCCTTACAGAGCACCTCCTCCAACACACATTAACGCGCACATGACGTCAACAGACTGGTGAAAGTGGCCGCCTGTTGCTGGCGAGTCATTGGCTGCGTTTCACTTCTCTTATTATTCATTTCCTCGCTCCTCGGTCTCGGTCTCACCGGAAGTTGATTTGTCTGCGCCATCTTGAGTAGCGTCCCAATGGCCTTATTTTTGCCGGAGGACCGAGGAGCGAGGAGAGAGGAGCGATAATAGAGGAGCTATAATCGAGGAACCACCAGACCATCCTCCGATGAAATCCTCAGACACTCGCGCCGCCCCCTTACTGTGTATCGCTCACTGATTGGACGATGCAGCGCATGCACCGATCTGATGCTTCTTGACATGAGAGCAGTTTCCCAGCGGAGTGAAGAAAATACATGAACCTCACGGGAGTCACTCCTCAGTCTATACCATGGTTTGTTTCAATTCATGTATCATTTAGTTACAAATATGTGATATATCTGAACAACAAAGTGGTCAAAAATCATTTTATTCATTTTTTGGAAACATTTTCATGATCGCTTTTTTCGTTTTACATTTATTGTCATTTCCATTCAGTCAGTCATTAAGTGCTATTAAAATGTTAATGTGCTACATATCCACACAAACATAGATAACATATCTATTTTTCTTCTCTCAATTATTTTATTTCTATTGTGCACTCTAATCAATATTAATCAAACTATTGTTCGTTTATACATTTTAAGAATGGCGTTTATCTTTTTTGAGAATGAGTTCTTATTTTATTTTATTTATTTGGGTCTACAACAGATGATACTAATGTTTGTGTCAGTAAATGTGTACTGACAGAGGCGGGGGTGTGTGTGGAAATAAGGGGGACAGAGCTGGCTGCTGTCAGACGATCAGCTGTGCAGCGTCATCACAAATGGATGTCGCTTCACGTGACGCTCCGGAGGAAAGGACGTCCCATTGCTCTTAAAACTCATTTCCCTGCTTCTCGTGGTTTCCTTGCGTCCCTCCATGCTTCCCTGGTGGGAGGGACTAGTCACACGGAAACGACGTAAGTGAGGGAAGCAAGGAATCCATTTAACCGAAGTGAGAAGGACCCCCTGCTTCTCGTGGTTTCCTTGCGTCTCTCCATGCTTCCCTGGTGGGAGGGACTAGTCACAGGGAAACGATGCAATTGAGGGAAGCAAGGATTCCATTTAACCGAAGTGAGAAGGGCCCATTGAAGTACTGCTGCAATGCACGCCCAATGACGGCACAAGATACATTTGATTTGTGCGTGCACGAGATGGAAGGCTGACAGACAGGGTGGCAAACCAATCCGTTTAGCTGGGCCGGCTAAACGGATTGGTTGTACTCTTTACAGTATTACGGCTTCCACAGATGACGTTTTTTTATGGATTTTTTGGCAAAGCACTTAAGATATTCATTACTATCGGGATGTTAAGAGCATTCCATGGAATATAACAAAAAGTGTATCTCGAGCCGGTTTCTGAAACTTACCTACCCCACCTTTAAGCGGAATAAATATTAATGATGCCCATTACCAATGAGCTGCTTGAGAATGTTGCAATCATCTGTATATTCAGTTGAAGAAATTCACAGTACAGTATCTGACAATTAGCAAGTGCAGTATGCATCATCAAGCTAAACACTAATTATCTGCCTGCTGCTTAATCAATTATGTATAGCATACATTACAATTCAAGTCACACACAATGTTGCTACTGAATGTAAATCTCCCCTTCACTCAGTCTATCATTCAATACCCACTAACCAGTGGTGGCAAGATTCTCCAAATCAACTATTGGATTTCACTCTATTTTAAGGTCATTATTTGATTCGATTTTCAATTTGAACATTATTTCCTAGCACCGACGGCTCTGCTGTTGTTCAAACGGCACTGTATTGTCTTTGAGCTGCCACCTCCAGTAAGATACGTTGTGTTGTTGTAGTTGTTTTTTTGTTGGATGTGAGCCTGCCTTCCTGTATCCTCACAACACAGCCTGGCTTTGATGGAGAGATGCCCTACATCACAAAGATGTAGATAAAAAAAAATACTTGGTAAAATTGCTAAAGCTTCTTTTGATTTCAATGATCAACTTGAAAGCTTAAAACTGAGATTCTGACATGCAGAACTTTTTCTGACTTTCATTAGATAAAGTAAAGACAAATTATGAACTCACAAATTGTAATTAATAAAACAATTAATTAAGCTCCGTTGTAGCCCTGTTTTTAGAGATTTGGGTATGAGGAAAAGAGAGAGGGTTTTATTTTCTGACACTTTGTGAGTTCCCTGACACACCGGGGACACATATTTATGTATAAAAGACATCAAAAAGTGCATTTTGCACAATAGGTCCCCTTTAAGATTCAATATGTTTGGCTTCAGTGGAGAACTAGAATCAACTCATGTTAGTATGTCTAAAGTACTTTTAGAACATTCCTCTGCTTTGAAATGGTATGTTGTTTTGACTAAATTAAGGATTCTATTTTGTACATAGAATAATGAATTAAAGCAAATAGAGTGGTGGTCCTACCATAGTTTGGGCAGCAGACCTTGAGCCAGCAGACGCTGGAGAGCACTGTGAGGTTGGTCAGACTGCACAGGCCAAACAAAACGCCACAGAAGGCATAGCCAGTGCAGATCGTCTTATTGAACAGCCACCTGGATGGAGAGAACATTTGTTACTGAAGGATCTTTTTTTCGCAACATTCTTATTGTGAAGAGAAAAAGCAGGTGCTACATTTTCGCACCTTTCCTCTTATTTACACAACTGCAGTGAGTAGTGATGCCTTTTAAACCTATCATGGCAATTATTTTCTTGTATTAGTTATCTTATTACATAATGCTCCTCTACAGGAATGAGGTCAATCCCACACTACAAAAGAATGTTGGTCTGTCCACCATCCATTACAGATATTTATTTATTTGCATCCCATTTATTTATTCAAATATGGAATTAATAATGTGAGTTAGGAGTACATATTGAAAGAAACATAATGAAATAGGAGGTAAATGATTATCTATTTGGAATAAGGTTTGACCTAAATGTTGTTTTGCATCTTAAATCTAAATCATAATTATCTTATTGATGTTTAGTCCATCGTGTCTTGTTAGGAAAATGTAAAATGTCATTATAATACTGTGACAGAAAAGGGTAAATAACTGTTTTTCAGCACTGACATGACAGCTGCAGATGGTTGGAAAACCCCCTAACTACAAGGTGGGCTGCGCTTTGTGTAGCCTGTTAAAAAAGTCCACAAATCGTGCACTGCTGCTTGTAGAGCTTAAAGCAGCAATTACCATCTTTTTAATAACACTGTCTCAAATAACTGTGTCAAAGGGTCGCTCACAATGAGGAACCAGAGAATAACCACGCAAGCTTTAGAAGCTTCATAGTGTATTTCATCTCACTGTGTTTTTAGCTGTTTTCAGTAAAACAAATTAAAGTCAAAACTCAATGTGTGAACTTGATAGTAAACGGATACAGTTTGCGACTACCTTGTAAATAGGTTGTTGTGAATGAACGGTAACATGTCATCCTACACTCTTTGAAGTTTTACCCTTTTTATATAATTATGTATTTTATCTCCATGAGTGAAAGTGTTACACAAGACCTCCTCCTGCTCCCCACATGTTTTATTTAAATAAAAAACAAGAATCTTTTATAGATGTACTAGTTATTTTCCCTTTATAATATTAAAATCTAGATTGAATACAGATATATTCAGTGTGAACAAAATCAGCCTTAAGAAATCTGTAATTAAAATGTCTGCAGTTCTTCAGATACAAAGAGGCACAACAGATCCGTGTCCTTGAAGGCAGCTCAAGCATCTGCTGGTCCCTCAAGGAAACATTAACTATGAAGATTACAGAGTCACATGATATTTTCATATATCATGTGACTCTGTATAGAAGGTGGTGGAATCTTGAATGGCCACTCACATGTGAGTGAATGCAGAGGGGATGGCGAGTGGGAACAGGGATATTGTCATGCCGAGGTCACTAATGGCCAGGTTAACCACAAAGAACTCTGCAGGCTTCAGGGTGGACTTCTTTCTATAGGCCACAAACAGCAGGATCCCATTTCCCAGTATCGACAGTACACCTAGGAGACAGAGTGCAGGATGTGCTGTTGTATATAAATCATCATCAGCTTTATTGAAGAGACTCAAGGTCCATTCTTAAAAGACATACAACACTCAAATATATATATATAAACACACACATTTACACAAATTAAGGCTTTATGGAATATCACTTACCCATAATGATGTATATAGTTCCCATGAGGATGTCACTGTCTTTCGATATTTTCGAAATGAGCAGAAATGCTTCGGAGGCATTTCCCATCTTGACCAAACATCAACACAGAGAAAAAGAGAGGGGGGAACACAATTGTTAGCTTGTTTGTTTCCACTTTAAGGCAATTTAAAAACAAACAAAAGCAAACCTCAGACAGGACAGACCACAAAGTCATTTTGTAAATCATCAGCCAACAGCTATTGTTACAGTGCCTGAAAACCAATTAACAACAATAAACACTGTGAAGCGCCATTAGCACAGTTTTTAATCAGACAACTGAAAAGCACACTTTGGCTGTTTGCCTTTCCATCTCTGATTGTATTATGTCTCTGGTGTACTCTTACAATCATATGTATCTCTCACTACCAGTTAATTTGTGAGAACATGCATATATCCTCATTAGTCAGTTATTTGGTAATTTTGTCACCATTTTGTTCAGTGATGGCAAAACAAACCATACTGTTAACAATATGTCTCCATGTTTTATAATTTGGAAGCTTTACACAGTCTCCAAGGTCATATGCTGCTTCCATGAACACATTAAATACCATCCTTCACTTCAAAATGTATTTACATTCACAGCATGAACCGCTGCCAAAACATATTCATTGCAGTTCAGGCATGTCGCTGAGGCAATCTTTTTTAAAGGAATTTATGTGAGAAGATATCGAGAAAATGTATTCATAGCCTTTCTATTTCCTCAACGACTTCACCTCTACGTATTGAAGGGAGTCAACAATCATGACATGTTTAATCACCCTGGGTTAAGAGTGATGCTGCTTGTATAGAAATCCTTATTACCGTAACCCCGGAGGTTATATTGAAAGAGAACTTGAGGTGAGGAAACAATTTGTTTATGCTTTTCGACATGGACTTTCTATTATAAATTCAATGTGGCCGGGGAGCCTGTAACACAGCATGTTAGAGAATACAGTCCTGCACAGGTTTGTGTGCAAATGTACTTGCTTCATTTGCACAAGTGTATACAGTATAGGGACTTGTATAAGAATGTGTGTGACTGTGTTGTGTTTACGGGTGTGGAGGTTTCAGATGTACAACAATCATCTGTGACAGTGGAGTCTTAAAGTGCAGGAGTGATCTTGTTTTGTAATATTACAATATGCTAATTATGTTACCTTTTTTAATGTTCCCACAGATATTCATTGACTGTGGAGAAAACGAAATGTCGATGCTTCATGAGGCCCAGAGGGGGGCTTAAGACGTCCCACCACCAGATGAGTACACAGTGTACATACGTGTAAGTAGTGCTGTATGTGTGAATTTGATGAAGAATGCAGACATTTTGTGCAAGTGTTACCTAAATACACATTTGTACCACTGAATTAATTTATACAAACAGTGTGCAATTTTGGTCAATACATATGTGTAACAGAATATGTGTTAACTACATGGTGTAATGTGAAATGTATACACTTAAATGTATACAATTATCAAAAGGTCCTGGCAGTAAATCATACCACATTCTGAAATCGAGTCACCAGAAGCTGTATCTGTGAAATTGATGTATAGTGCAGGAAAACACACATTTGCATCTGAAATGAAGTGCATTAGATGTTTAAATTAGCATGACATGGAAATACTCTATTCAAATACAAGTACTTCTAGATTATACTCGACAAGTACAGTATTTGTGTTGTTGTTATTTCCCCCACAGCTGGGACCATAGCTGCCATCAAATAAACAAACACTAATATATTACACACAAGTTATTAAGTTACATTGATAGTGGTCTCTCCATTAGCTGAAAATAACCGTAATCAGCAAGTCCTTCTGATGCTGTACACAACACAATTTCCACAATTATTATGTACTTGTAGAATAACACATATTGCAAATACGAATGCACAAACGGCATTATACTTCTCCCTCCTGTGCTCTGTGTGAATGCCTCCGGTCTTTACCTTCTTACTGCTCTTATGACTACAGAAAAGTCCCCTTACTTCCATATTTCCATAATAATATTTTCACTTATTATCCATTCTGTGCCTGAAAGACACATTCATTCAATTCCCTAATATGGAAAATTGTAATTTGTTGTGGTGCATTTATGCAGTTTTGCACAAGCGCAAGGTCAAACTGATCCAAGGTAAATTACCCTGAGGGTTTTTATACGCCTTAATGAGACTAAACATTTTATTCACTTCACATCACAGTTTGACTTTCAGATTTTTCTGCATCTTCTTTCTAAACGTTTACAAATGCTAGAACCACTTACCAACAACAGTTCTCAGACCTGCAGCATGTCTCTCTAATGTGTCTTTGGACACACATGTATTGTCATGCAACAGGAGGTGCTGTAAAGTTCCATAATAGCATCTTTTGTATTGCATACAGAGACTCATTTTACTTGAGCATCATGGTATTACATCTGTTTTCCCTTCACATCCCAGTTCTTAACTTAAAACTGAGTCAGACCCAGGGTATTTTACACTCTGTTTGATTCTCTAAACACATTAACTACTAGGCTTATGAAACTATTTTAAATCAATATCACTGACTTAAAATGGATGGTCATAAATTGTGAAAACTAGATTGTACCGCTCAAATAATCCTAAATAAAGTATCTGTCTAAAGCTGAGAGATTTATACTGCACCTACAAAGCCTGCCTGCCAGGCTATTTATTTATATTATTGCCCATTTTCCCTTCTCCTGCGTGCTCTCCTCTCAGCAGTGCCAGGGTTACAAGGGGAAAGTCTGGATTAACAGCCCCGCTAAGAGGATGAAGTCAAGAGAGAGACATTGAAAGTGAGCGACTGGCAGTTTAGGGAGGAACCCTTGCTCACCCCCATCAGTGTGAGAGTGGGAGAAAAGCAATGGCGAGTAGAGGAAAGCCATAAAGTGACTGTCAGTCTGTAGCTGAATGCTGGAATTGAGGGTAATCATTCTAAAGGACATCTTTGACAATATAAGCCTTGCTGTCATACAAAATGAATTGACAGTCTACACACAGACACACTTACCGAACAGAAAAAGAGGGAAAGATTGTCAAGGACAGCGAAGGAGACGTTGAATAAAGAATAGGAGTTTGTAATGAATAGGCGAGGACAAGTAAATAATGAGAAAAATCCTATAACTGAAACTGTCAGAAAGATGGGAATGAAAGCCGAATTATGTATATTATTCACAAGATGAATGAGAAAAAGGGACAAAGTCACAATTCAGTGAGCCTGATTACATCCACTCTGTAAACAGTAATCATTGCATACTCTGCTTAAGAGTAATGGGATTCACTCAGCAGAATACAGTGAAGAGTCGGTTTAGCTTTTCCTTAACATATACAGTATGGGATAGGCTACTGTATTGTTAATAACACACACATGCACTGATCCCTTGACTGTCCAATACTGCGGTACATGTGTTTAAATATGAATTATTACAACTAGACACCGACGTAGGTGTCAGATCTTATTTAACAACAAATGCAGTTTCCTTCTTATTTTCATATCCTCCTCCTCCTCTTTTCCTTATCTGATAAGTCTCCAGTTTCAGTGTTTAGCAGCAGTGGTTGACTGAATAATTGAGGAAAAAATAATGATTTGGGTAGCTTGTAAGACCATTTGATATCTGATATCAATGACTCCTCGTAAAGTCCGATTCACTTCAAAACATTACATCATATCGGATGTTTATTTTTCTTACAATTGGGATCATTAAGAAATCACATTTAATCTAAGCTAAATCCAACGTTAACAAAGAACAGAGGGTCACACCAATATTAACCTAAAATACAAAATGGAGTTATGCACCACTAATTTGTTTCTCAAGTGCCTTATTTAGCTAATTACTGTATATTATAAATGCATACATCATATTTATATTATGTCATATATATATATATATATATCATATGTCATATGACATATGACATATATATATATATATATATACAGTATGATATATGATGTCCTTTATAGATAATGACATTTCCTGTCGTAAAGATCTGGTCAAAGATCAAGCGCTATTTTCATAGCACACACACAAAATGCAACCCTGTTTCCTTTAAAATACATTCACAGTTACTACTAGTAAAAAGCACAGGGCTTTATGCCCTCATGAGGACTTTTTCAATAACAAACACCATCATCTTTTCTTAACTCGATTTCCAAAACAAGACGTCTCAGTTGAGATGAGCAGATATTATAAGGAAAAAATGAAACGATTTGCCAGTTGAGGATTGTTCAGTAATAACATTTTGTGATTAGAATTTGAAGATACTGTATGTATATGTAAGGCTCAGGATCACTACCACATTTAGACCTGTTCATTTTTTAGGCTCTTAAAACACATGGCACATTTTCAACAAAAACGTAAAAAATATGTGTAATCCCACCTTTAGAAGAAAGGGAGTTTTATCATTCTTTGACAAAACCTTTAGAAACAATTGTATTTATGGATTCGCTAATATATCCGTATCTGCTACATTAAGCCAATACACTGTGTTTGAATAAATTACAATCATTCCATCCATTTCCACAAGTCATCACTCACACAGCTTGCATCCGTCCTCAAACAAAACCCATAGATCGTTGATTTTCCTTTCACAAGTGACTGTTATTGTTCTGAGGAACTTTCTCCATTATGCTGTTTGCACTCATTAGTAGGCATACTGTGTGTTGTTATCAGGCAAGTAGCAAATGTCTGAGTTCAGTCAGGAGTAACCATACATTATCATTTCCATTATAACTTGGAATAAGGAGGAGGGCAAACCCCTTTAACGTCTGTTTGCCCACTCATCTGTGGAATAGCGTTTACTCTTATCTTCACGCTGTAATACATCTGTAATGCATAGTTTCTATTGCACATTTCAGTGGCGAGCCGTGACTTTTATACCTAGGCCCTCGAGTTATTACGTCACAGCGTATACTTCAGCGGAATATCAAAACAACAGCCCGGGGTGCAAAACGCATCAATGAAAGCGACCAAAAAACAACACCTGTAAATAACCCAATTTGTGTTCTTTGAAATTTAAAAGGATATTGCATTGTGTTTCGTTGCAGTTGTATGTCTTAAGTATAATTTGGCATGC